AACCCGGAAAACCACGTTCATTATTGGAAGTACTTCGTTCCGCTCTACAAACTTGTCAAAATTATAACTTTACTTGTAGTGTTCAAAAGTTGGAACAAGCCCAGACTGCCGTAATTAGCATTGCAACGGCTGCTACTTTTCCGTTTTCATAAAGAAAACAAAACACCAAAACAGAATTCTTATAAGATCCATCCTTCTCATTGAATTTTACGTTAACCTACCTTTTTTGCTAATTCAATACCATCCTTATGTATTACAAAGGAACAATATGAACTTCCAAAACGGGCTCAACATCTTTTTCTATCCTAAATTCGGTGATCCTGCAAAAGCAATCAAAATTGTAAATAATGACGAAGTGGACATCACTGATTAGTTTCATGTTTTATTTTTTGCTTCAACGTTTGTGTGCAAAAATGAAAAATACAAGCGCGACGATATTATGATCTAACCCAATAATTTCGGTTCAAATATTAGGTTGGAAGAAAGTCCTGCAACACTTTTCCAATTTTTGATTTTAATTTTATTTTTTTTTACAACTCCTGACCGGTCTATATCTACCATGAGTGTCCACCACTTGTCTTCAACGCTCAGAAAATTTCTTGATGCTCCTTTGCCAAAACCCAGCGGAGTGCGGGTCGAGAAAGGAGGCGACCTCACTTTCGAGTTGATCGTCTAATTATTTCGTCATCAAGATGATGATTTAAGGTCCAGGATAGGTGGCAGTCATTTATAGCTCGACCAGGGGAATACGCTAAGAGAGGTAAAAATCTTGCCGCAACTCCAGAATTTCTTACCGGGCTCATTTCGGATCATGGTGATTCGCAATGTCATGAAAGAAATGAATATTGTCGCGGTACGAGGGCTCCTGACGAGCTGCCTCGGCCAGCTTCTGGAGTTCGCAGCCTAGACCTCTACCTACACAATGGTGCCCATAACGAAGAATTTGTAGTGGAGCTTCCGTAAGAGCCCTACCTGTAATGGAGTGTGTAGGGACGCTGCTGGCTTCTTATAAAAATATCAAAAGATCGAAAGCGCTGGTAAAGGTGAAACACGCTGTAGCGGTGAACGGCATGCCTATTGAAGCTATTGCAGATAGTGTCGGTCACGAATCCATAGTTATGGAGACATTTGTACTAGACAGTGACTCGGAGTATGGATTTACTAGTGGTCGAGGTTTTTTGAATTTTCTTGGATAACTACTGACTGCAGCACTTATATCCACCTCGTGGATTGAAGCCTCGAGAATGCTCTACCATTTGTTAGTCATAAATGTTACCTATGAATTTTTCAGAAAAAAAGAAAATTTTAGAAAGAGTGTTGCAGAACTTTCTTTCCAACCTAATATTAGAGGAGAAATACCATTTTTTGTCACCCTCCCCTAGCTGTTGTGTGCTTTCACCGTAATATGAATAAACTCTTCAATAGTACGACAGAATAGGAGGCACTAACTTGACGGATAGGTTTGCTGCGATAACTTTTAAGTTGGTCTATTCGTAGCAACAATCACGAGTTCAGATTCAGGATGCAGAGGAAAGATGCTAATTGTGGTGTATTTACTGTTTGATTTTAGTCAAGGCTTGCCTATTTCGAATCGACAAGTTCGGTTCTACACCGGGCAGAAACCCCGGACCAGATGCGGGCACGACGTGAAGTCGTTCCCTAACAGGCGCAGGACCAGTTGGAGGTTAAGGCAGGGTGAAGCAAATTCAGTGGTTTCACAGTTCGGAACGTTAAAGTAGATTAGCTTATTGATTTCTCGAGTCTCACCGTGCTGACTTTGTCAATAAAGTGTCACCTGTGCTTAGGTCTGCTTCTCTAAGAAGCGGCTAGACGTTCCGGGGGCGATGAACTAGCTGTCATCGGGGGCGCAAGCGACATTATAACACTTCTAGATGGGAAAAGCCTTGTTCAACTGCGCCCCTTCCCCTTGTCATACGTTGGTCATTGGTAGCAATGGCTCCTTGAAGGAAGATTTCACAATAAGGTCGGAGGTCGGAGATGGGGAAATGTACCCTGAGAAAGGGGAGGCCTCCTCTAAGTAAGGGGTAGACCAAGGTAGAAGGGAGATCGAGTTTGTCGCTCACGTCGTTGCAGCTATTAATTGCCCTGGGCTTCAGTCCGGACGCAGCAGGGACGGTAACAGGGACGCGCGGCAGAGCACTGGCACATAGTGTTCGGCCATGAGCCTCGCTCCAGGTGCGGAACAAAGGAAATACGGACACATTCTTCAGACTTAGGGGTTTTTTTGATCTTTCTTGACGATGAGAGTGTGGTCTCCTCGTGAAGCACGCCTTTGAATCATCACTATGTGGGCTTATCTCATGACCCATAGCTCGGGCAAAAGGCCATATCACAGCACTTCTTATTATGAGTGGAAAATAGGAATAGGAGGGGCGTTTCGAAAAACATCAACATTTTGAGAGTTTCATCTTTTACCACTTCCAGAGTTACCCACAATGTGACGACGTTGCTCGACCATATTTTAGCAGGTTATGATCGCCATCTCAGACGATTTCAAACGGTAGTCAATGTAATTTCACTATGACTGTCCAATGCCACATTCGTTGCAGTAAGGGCGAACTCCGTTTCATCGACATGCTCGTCCGGATAGGGACCAATCGCTGACTTAACTAAGGTGGTCTGCAGCGAATAATTGTTGGAGAAAGTATTTTCGGTAATACGATAAAGCCTCCGAGTTACAGATTGCCTCCTTTATGAAATAGTAAAATTTCGATATCGATTTTATAATAATATTGAGAGGTTCCGATCTCAGAAATACCAGTGCGCCTTTAAACCTCCTCGTGTTGGAATTTCTTCTGTTCTCTTGAATTTGAAGTGACGGGAAAGAATGAGCAGTGCAGTAGCAGCTTTGGAACTACATAGCATGGTCGGGGGCTTCCTAAGAAATCAATTGCTCTTTGGCCAGAATGTTTATGTCTTATATTGCTTCCGAGTTTGGTTACAGAGAGATCAATCTCTGAATACTTTCTCGTTTCCTCTTATATTTTCGGTTACATTTGCGAATGCAAGAAGACGTTACAATGGCACAGTATATGTCCACTAGCCATAAACGAGGTGGTGTGGTGTGTGTGTGTGGTGTGTGTGTGTGTGTGTGGGTGTGTGTGTGTGTGTGTGTGTGTGTGTGTGTGTGTGTGTGTGTGTGTGTGTGTGTGTGTGTGTGTGTGTGTGTGTGTGTGTGTGTGTGTGTGTGTGTGTGTGTGTGTGTGTGTGTGTGTGTGTGTGTGTGTGTGTGTGTGTGTGTGTGTGTGTGGTGTGTGTGTGTGTCGTACAACGAGCGTAGTGTCGAGCCGTGTGTGTGTGTTGTGCGTAAAATCGAGCCGTGGGCGGACGCTCTTTGGAGTACTCGTGGGCAATCTGTTCACATGAAACATGATTATCTCACAACTACCGCATCTTGACGTGGTGACTTGAAAAAACCTGGCATACACAGTTACTAATATGGTAAAGGTAGAGCTGCTGAACGTTTTAAAACCGTGCTTAAGGGAGGAAACACTGAATAAACATTAAACTCTCTTACACTAAGACACTCACTACGACTGCTTGAGGCAGACTTGAACGACATCCGTCCCTGTATGGCTTTCGTATAACTTAGGATAATTATGCTGTATTCAAACTTTGCATTCAGACCTACTCGTTTAACTGTTACTTTCGACAAACATGGACCGATTCAAGGCTGAAGTTTAATGGGACAGCTGGTCAGGAGCTATCACTCAGCATGGCCATGCTGGACAAAATATGGAAGCCAGATACGGTGAGAATAGAATTATAATTATTATGTGACACTGAACGAGAGCGGTAATCGGTTAGGAGCATTTACAAAGAATTAGCATTAGATAGGGCGTTATTGGCTTCTTAGCGAGGTTCTCCATGAGAGCATAATTGATTGAGCTTTCGAGGGATTTTCTTCGGAAAGCGCATATAGAGAATGATAAGACAGTAGACTGTAAGTTTTGGATGATTTTTTATCTATGTGATAAAAGAATATTGTGGCTTATCTGCCGAAATTTTGAAAGAAGAAAAGCTGCGGACGCTTTTACAAAATTGGAATATGCAATTATTTTGGATTTTGGAGTAGAGAAAGAGCGTTTATTTTTATAGTATTTGGGAATGGTGCACGTCCTTATCACACACAGTATAAACGACAGCAACATGCTTGTAGATTGCATCGATGGTACAGTTCTGTACAGCAGCAGGCTCACTATCAAAGGTAAGATTAAAGTTCCTACAGTTCACTCTTGCGTTTACACGTTTATGTTAGCAGAATTCGTTTTTTATTCAAAAGCCATATTATATAAAAGGTGGTTGATCCTTTCAGTCTACATGTGTTCCAAACGCTGATAGGAATCACCATTTCGAGGTCAAGGCTAACTCATTGAGAAAAGAAAAAGAAACGAGGTGCCATGATTGTGAGAGTTGGACGAATTCTGAAATTGTAGGGCAGTCGTTGCAGACATCATTTCCAGGGTTGAGGACAAGGTTAATCCGAACATGGAATACGATAGTGTACTCACAGTTTGTACTGATATACCCGGCCTGTCGTTTGGTTCGCGGACGGTTGATGTTGGACGCGGGAAGGCTGGGCTTGCATCGCTGAGATGCCAGTTACAGTTCGACTGGCCCCCTCCGAGCAGGGTCAGTCCTATCGTTGTTACTTTTTCAAAAATTTTTACGACCCCCCTCCCCCAAGGTGGACTTGGTACGACCCCTTTTCGACCCTCGACCACCATATTCCTCTCTATAGTATTTAATTGTGGTAGACTACACAACCCACCAAACTCCGCCCACTTCTCCTGTAAAGGGGGGAGCCGTATATAGCGCACGACTGAATTGGCGAGGTCTCTCCACGCGCTCCCAGCCAACTCACCAGCTACTGTACTCGTGAAAACTCACTTTTACCCAACCTCACATGCACTTTTCACGGACGGGAAGCGGATAGACCCTCCTATAACTCGACAGACGACCCCCGTTATATATTAGGTACCGGATATCTTAGTGTCGCTTTTCTGAGTTCAGGAAGTTTTGGGGCCGATTACTATGGAAAATCAATATCCCAGAAGGCAGTTTTTGCTCATTAATATTGCGAAATATGTTGCTTACCGTTTCTATTGTTGGTTCACAATTTAACTTTCCCCCAATTTTTATACTTTCTTCTGAAAATTCCTGGGTCCCAGTGTGCAAATTCGCATGTGTGTACCAAATGCATCAAAATTCTTGCTGAGAGCTGTAACCTCCGCCCACCAAACCAGCATTGCATTTGATGGAGGGAATACTACCATTTAAAATGCTCATCGGTTTTTCACAGTTTTCTTAAAAGACAGTAAAGTCTTTGAAGGGATGCCCGCAACCGTCGCCAAAAAGGTGGTCCTAGCTAAATCAGTCAAAACGGGGCTGCACCAGTCTTGTGCTGGAATGGTAGGACACCCTAGCAGTTACTGATCGATGGTGCACAGACGCTCTAACGAAGTTGATTGACCAAGAAATTCTAATAAATGTGCTCATCTGCTACTCACGTGTGCTCAAAAAGGGTGCGTTTTTGACCCCATGTGGCAAAAAAGACTCCGGGAAAAATTGTCCAGTTGAGCTGGTAAGTAATAAATTTTCCACCAAACAGTGCAGACCCTACTCTAACTAAATGTATACATATTTTGTCCAGGCCCAACTGTTTAGCAAGGTAGAGGGATGATTTGTCAGATGATGTCAAATTCGACCTACCTCTCTTTTTCGTCTCAAAAAATTCCTAACTTTAATCGTACGAGGTTTTCACTCATACTGGTAAATGGGAAAGGGCTAATGAGTCATTCGATGGATATGCCGTTTCACTCACCGGATTGAATGAGAAATATTGTGGTGAGTTCCGAAACCTCGGCGGTGAAAACGCGAACGTAACGATATCCGGTCCTAAATATAACAACGTAGGGGTTTGACCTGCTCAGAGCGTGCGCGCGTGGGTGGGCCCGCTCAGCCGTGGCATCGTGTTGCGTCTACGTTCAAACAGTCGTTGGGTGCCCCTCGTGACTAGTCGGGGTAGGCGACGTCGCGACTGCAGTGGACGAGTTTCTGTGAGCGTCACTTGATTTCGATGTTACAGGAACGCCAAATCGACCAGTCACTTTGACACTCAGTTTCAATCAATGCAAGGACAGTTTTAGGTCTCGCGGATCCTTCTTTCCATTTTTTCTTCGATGTGCGTAAGACGAACACTGCTCATTGCGAGGAGGGAGTTTGGGTGAAGCCACTTCTCACGACCAGTTGACCGCTCCCTTCGTCTTGCGTCGGCCTCTACCTAGAGAGGGGTACTTTCTTCGTGAGGGAAGAGCTCAAGTATTACCGCCAGGGAGAGGACGGACAATGAAGTGTGCAGAGCATTCAATGGATGCATGCTGGCCATGGACAGTTCAGCAGCGCGCAAGGTATTTCCTTGTTGGAAGTGACGGTAGTTCAACATGCGTCCCATTCGTGGTACGCTTCGCTCCGGCTCGGTGGTGTGTTCGGAATGTTGTTTATCGTGCACTAGAACTAGTGATCAGGCAGCGCCGTCTGGATACGCTGAATCGTCTGCGTACAGAGGAGGCAACCGGCAGAAAGCTCAGAAAAGTTATACGATTATTGTAGTTAACCATAAGAAATGTTTTGAAGTTCTTTAGTGAGTCAACAAAAAATGGAGTGCGTTTTCAGGAAAATGTGCCATGTCGATGAATCGTTATCCATTGGATAAGCAGGTATCGCTATCCTGAACTCTTTGTTAGCCCTTTTCCTGTAAGAACAACATACTCTTTCCATTCGAGCTAAATTGAACTATCTGATCATTTTTCAAAAGGATCGTTCACGGAAAACTTATTTAGTGATTATTATTAAACGTTCAAATTCCCGCTGTACATCTGTCACAAGTATTGACGAGGGGACAAATCCACTTCATTCTCGCAGAGCCTCCACTAGGAACACTTTTTGGCCCTTTCCGCTATGGCAATACCATTTTTATTTCCTAAGGCGTGTTCCGTCCTAGTTTTGCCTCTATCATCTCGCATTAACGTGTTTTCATGATCGACTGATACATGGTCCCGCATAGGCGCGATTTTTTCATGTGGCGTTCGCTGTCTCACCGTCCTACCGCCGACGTTCATAGGTGTTAGTTTTCATCGTCTTGATTTTCTTTCGAAATGGGATCTCTTCGCATAAAGTTGGGGAACGTTGTGTAGTAGCTGTACTGACATATTCTGTATGGAAAAGTTGCAAGACTTTGCGGGAAGCCTTTACAAAATTCAACTGATTTCAAAAATGGGCAATGCTATGTTGCTTGTTCTAAAAAAAAAAGCCTACAACTTGCTATCAGCTACACTAATGCTAACTTACCGTTGCACTGTTAAAACCACCGACACATATCCACCTTTTGAATAGCTACAGTAGCGGTCAAATGTTCGCCGAAACGCTTTTTCGTGCCTTTCATTTCTTCCTTCAGAGAAAGATCCAAAGATAGTTTGAAGCCTTTCTTTCAATATCTAAACTCTTCAAGAGTCAAGGTTTTGAAGGCTTCCAAAGGCATGTCTTATTAATATTTGAAGGACACTGTTTGAGTAAGAAAAAGTAATGCACGGAAAAAGTTTCGGCGAACACTTTTGACCGCAACTGTATTTTACAGAAAGGAACTACTGATTCACATAGCTCTCACATTCACAAATGTGCTAGGAGCGCTGCGTTGCAATAGAAACCAAGGAAGGCATCCTAATTTCAATGGAACCAGGTTATCTGATAGGGCTTCAAACGCTGATTACAAATATGGAAACTAAAACTGCAAAATGAACCTGCCAAGGAAGTTGTGAGCAGTCAAAGTTGGCTGGAAGTAAAGCATTACACTGGCCTCCAGGCTTTCAGAGTCGCCGCGGAGTAGTGGTAGTGCCCTCGCTCTTCACCCGGGAGGTCATAAGCTCTCTTCCCGTTGGAGTGCAAATTTCGAGAGCACTACCACTACTCCACGGCGACTTTGAAAGCCCGGAGGCTAGGTGTAAACGCTTTACTTCCAGCCAACTTTGACTGCTCACAACTTCCTTGGCAGGTTCATTTTGCAGTTTTAGTTTCCATATTTGTAATCAGCGTTTGAAGCTCTATCGATATATCTGGGTCTCAATTCAAAGTTCCATGGGAAATGGGAAATTGAATGCCTTCTCCGGTTGGTAATCTCGTAGCAGAATTCTAAACGCCGTGAACTATGTCGTCGACGTCTGAAAGCTCTTACTCCCCTCTACAGATATTTCATCAAAGATTTCTTCGAATTATTCAGGTATGTCGATTGATAATTGGTTCTTATGCGTTCGGCTCTGACGAGTTAATGTATGACTGGAGACTTATGGGCACGGATAGAGGCGTTCAGGCATGGCATTTTTCGTCATGTGATTATCAAACCCTGCACTCCACTATCCACATTTCAGATGGACTTTCGAAGGAATTTCCGACTTGGCGCAATTCTCGATGACGGGATTCAAAGTGCTCAATTCAACCAATATGACACGAGATCGTGAGTATTGCTCTTTCAAATTCGTTTTAAATTTGGAGAGACTTGGAAATGGTCAATATTCGACGCCGGAATACTTGTCCAATACTCAAGGCAGCATGGACGTTGATACTGGCCGCCCCGTAAAACTTACGTACTCTTTGCCTCGGCATAACCTGATTCCTACCGAATTCATAGTTGAAGTCTGAATTTGTGATGAACATAGAGCCTCCTAGTAATAAAGATAGGGGTGGTTAGTGAGACAGGGATGAAGAAGCGCAGAGCAACCTAGAACACGAGAAATGGCACGCCCTTTTTCGTAATGATTTGCGCGTCGGAGTGTATCATCGGCGTAGATCTCGTTATCTATTTTATTTATTGATTTTTTTATTACTATGCACTCGTAGGTGCGCTACGGTAATTTAGTCAGAAAACCAACAGTTATATTAGGTTGTAGGGAAAGTTCTCGCGGTTTTTCGAAGCACGTTGAGCTCTGGTTGAGCAACTTTTTTGAATCGAAGCCAGAAAAGTTCTTTGCCGAAGGCATCAAAAGTCTGCCCGAAAAATGGCGAAGAGTGATAGAACGTGATGGTGATTACTTTGTTTCCTAATATGTTTTCTTGTTGATAAAAAATTAAGGTAATGATATGTGTCAAAAACCGCGAGAACTTTCCCTACAACCTATTAAATTGTAAACACGAGTCTGCCGAAATAACTAAAATTAAGCAAAAATTTGCTGGGCGGCTAGAGCCGACGGCAAGTGGGCGGATAGCGGCGATAGTGGCGCGAGGTCCATAGTGGATCGCTGGGCGCCGCGAATTGCATGCCGTCTGCACCCTTAGTGGGTCCGTTTTTTTTCGGGTAGATTTCCCCTTTAACACGTTGACGACACGCCCTTGTGCGCGAACCTACCCACCTTACTTTACAAATTTGCATTAACAGTTACTACATTACCAATAATTTCATTAGTGGTAACGAGAGAACTATTTTTCGTATCCAACAGTAGGAAGGGCCAGTCTTGAAGCATGAAAATGGAGGCACAATTTAGGAAAAACAAGTCTCTTCCGTGTGGGAGTGCGGGACGTATGTGTCCCGCGCTGTCGTCAAAGTGTTAAAGAACGGCGCCTTTGGCGAAATTCTCTATAAGTCGATTTGCCTCACCATCAGATAAAGTGGAGTAGTGATCGAAAGCACCGCCCGCCAGAAGCTTTTAAGACATGCCTCGCTAACCAAGCGGAGCTTCCAGTCGAGCCAAATGTCCCGTGTGTCAAGTTTTTGACGTATTTGTAAATTTTGAAAGGGGAGCGGGTCGGGTCGGGCTAGGAGAGCGGCGAGAGGGATTCCCACGAAAAGGTGACGAAATAAGTGATGGATTTTCTGGGGAAATTGCTGTTTCTGCTCCAAACTTGCACTGCTTCTCTCCTTGGGCAATCTCTCGGATTTTTTTTGGTGTGCAAAATGTTGGCCGGTTCCCCATCCTCTACTGGAAGAGGTGGTAAAGGGAAGCCCTTCTATGTACTCCCTAGCAAAAGGGTCCGCCGATCTCAAATATTGCCCCAACGTGAGGTTTCCTGTGCTTACCCTTTTCGCGTTAAATATTTGACCAACGAGGGTGGGAGCATTGACTAGAATGTATGTAGCTCTGCATTTAATTGTGTTGGTCAACCATCCATTCTAATACCCTTGCGCTCTGGTTGGCAGTCACAGCAGGGTCAACCGTCACGTTGGTCCGGTTTCAAAATTCCAGGACCCTCCGCGTCTCCAGGGGTCTCGATACACCCTCACACTCGTCACTCCTAGTTGTTTCCCCATGCGACTCCCCCGCCCAACCACCCCTTTGACCCTACCCCCTCCTTCCACTCACGACATCATGGCTTATTTGCCCAATGAAGCAGCCTCTTAAACTTTTCCTCGAAATTTCAAAAAAAAACATTAAGAACTACCACATTTTCCACGATAGTGATCCCTTCAGCTTTCACAACCCCTTTCCCCGACCCCCTATTCGGTCTTTTGACATTTGCCAATCCTAGATACGACCCATTCCCCTCTCGAAATCGCAAAACGACCCCCCCCCCGGTTGGACTTGACCAACACTTCACTTCTCGTAGGCCTTCGCGAAATTCAGGTTCTGTGTTCCATCTCGGGTAACAATATTGCTGTAGAGAGAATATAATTTCGACAGAATCATTTGGCAACCACCGACCTTTTGGTATACGCCGTGCATTTTACTTCCCTTCTAAGCTTAAAATTTGAGCGCGGATCTCATTTCCACCAAGGGCTTACGGGCCGGCCTACGAACAACTCGATGGTATGCCCTCCCATGGTAGTCGGGTACCAAATGAAAAACGTCCAAACAGCCTAAACATAAAACGCACCAAAAAGCTGGCATACGGATATCCCGGCGACAATACGAGCTATTTCATCAAAAACGCCAGTTTGGATCTATTTTCCTACAAAGGAAAAGCTTTCAAGGTAACTATTCCGCCCTCGAGGTCCGATTCTACTTTGAACGACATTTTGGCTACTTCCTGATGAACTTCTATGTGCCATGTACGCTAATAGTTCTCCTTTGCTGGGTAGCATTCTGGACAAATCGCGAAGCTACTGGAGATCGAGTAGGCATGGGTAAGTGCTAAAGCAAATAAATACCTTATCGTTAAAAAAGGTCGGATATAATGCTATTTTCAGGGATAACATCTGTTCTCACTATGGTCCTGATTGCTAATGACAGCAAATCGGATGCTCCGAAGGTAGGTTTTCTCCGGTTATCGTTATATGCATCGTGTCATCGGTATTGCTCGCCGGTGTACGTGGGAACGTTGTTACCCCTGGCAACAAACATTTTGTTTGTCGCCTCATATCCTATACATCCCGTGGGGAAACAACAGGCTTTGTTTAAGAGGTGTTGTAACGTAACTAGTAATTTAGCCCAGTATCCCCTCTATCACCTGCCATCCCGTTGATCGTCGATTTGCTCGAGCGGGCGCCAGCAACGTCTCCATTCGTCCCTGTCGCGTGCTAGAGTGGTCCAGTGGATCCTCCTTGCTCGAGGGACACGAAGTCCTTCATTCCTTTCGTTCAGAGCTTTCGTGAAGAAGTCTGACCATCGGGCCGGCGGTCGTCCAGGTGTTCGTTTGACGTCCCGAGGGATCCAGTCGGTAACCGCTCTGGTCCAACGGTCATCGCAAAATCGCATGACGTGTCCGGCCCACCTTATCTTCGATTCCTTGGCGAAAACGGCAGCGTCCCTGATCTTCGATCGTTGGCGTAGTTCGAACTCCGGATTCCCCTCTGCACTTGCGTGTATAGGGTTACTCCTAGCATCGTCCTCTCGACAGCGCGTTGGATAACGCTGACCGCATGCTCGTCCTGCCTGCGCAGAGTCCAAGTCTCTGAGGCGTAGGTTAGGGCAGGAAGGACAGCGGAATCGAAGAGGTGGGCACGGAGCCGGATGTTCTTCGTCTTCTTCACTACTCCCTCGATGTTCTTAACGCTCCCCAAGCCGCTCGTTTCCTCCTGCTCAGCTCTGGAGCTAGATCGTTCATCATATTGATTTCCCGACCTAGGTACACGTAGCTGGAGCATTCGGTGATGTTCGTTCCGTTGAGCGTGAATGGGGCATCAGGAACCAATCCGTTTCTCATAAACATCGTCTTCGTTAGGTTCAGCTGTAGACCGACCTTACCACAGGCGCAGTCGAAATCAGCCAGCATTCGCTCCGCTTGCTCGATGTTCGGCGTTATAAGAACGATGTCGTCAGCAAAACGAAGGTGGTGTAGTTGCCGGCCGTCGACCTTCACTCCCATGTCTTCCCATTCCAGTTGACGCATGACGTTCTCGAGAGCGGCGCTGAAGAGTTTGGGCGAGATGGTGTCGCCCTGTCGAACCCCTCTCTTGACGTCGATGATGACCTCCTTGTAGAATGGTGAGATTCTGGTCGTAAAGTTGCTGTAGAGCTCACGAAGCTCCTACACCTACATAATTAGGTCCAGTTTCTGCCTAAGTCGGGAGGCTATGGAAGTGCACCTTAGTCTGGTGAAAGAAAGCTGGAGTGAGGGTTCAACACAGTCGGCGACCACTGGGAATGATGATGCACTGAGCGCACGCATGAATTTGCAGTCATTCCTGTCTTCATACGAAATTTTTGGAGTGAAAATATTGCAATTTCTCACATTACTATTTGAGTCGTTTAGGTCAGTTTTCCCACAGCATTGGACGTGTACATATGGATTTGCTATACGACATTACTGCTGTGTATGGTGGAGTTCACTGTAGTGCACTACTTCACCAAATTCAACACCGGCGATCCCGAAATTCAGGCGATAGAGAGAGAAAGGATGAGACGAATCATCAGAACGATACCGAAGACAGCAGTCTTAAGGTATCATTGGATGCAGTTTGAAATTTCAAACGTTTAGCCAGATACCACCTTGTTTAGACCCCTGTCATTAGCATCAGGTGCCCGTTAAACATAGTGCGCCATGCCTCCTGCCTTTTCGAACTTTTAAATAGTTTGGAAGAAGAAAGTTCATAGCCATCGAGTTGTTTCCGACCGCTAATCCTAGGATAAGTCGACTATCGAAATATGACGAAACCTGCGGTAAACCGACGAAATGGTTTTGTTGTCAGGAAGGAGATTGAAGTGTTTAGTGATGCATGCATGCACGTGCACGCATATGTTGGTAAAATAGGAGGCTCAAACTGAATCCACTATCGAAGCCAACACCTCAAAGCCTATGGGTGCTATGTGTTACGAAGCAACAGAAAGAAGGCAATCTACGCAATATGCCTCACGACTGGGAGTCATATGCGTAGCTCACACCACAAAAAGTCAATTTCCCTGGCATCTAATGCACACTGATACTGATCAAATGAAAAAATAAAGCGCATAATGTCTTACAAGAATGCTGGATTGTAAACAAAGCTTTCCCAGACGGGACTCGAACCCGTACCTTTTGCTTACCGGGGAAATGCGCTAGCATTTATGCTACTGGGGCACTATTTCATTCTAGAAAATGCCCCGTTACCGTAGCTGTTTGCGGCACTTATCCCGGCAAGCGAAAAGGTGCCGGGTTCGAGTCCCGTCCGGGGCGAAAGTTTTGATCACAAACCAGCATTCTTGTGAGACATTCGCCAGGCGATCTGCGGCCAAAAACAGCAGTCAACAATCAAAAACAAGGCACAGAATCACACTGATGGTAGAGAGCGCATGTTAGTGATACTGCCCACTTCTTTTTGTTAATTCCATTAAGAGGCATAAAATAGGAATTTCGTTCATCGCTTGTTAGCCTTCTCTCAGGATGCGCAACGTATTTGACTTTTTCTAAACCTGATGCTCTGAATTTCTTGATCTGTGAGCTGGAATCGTATAAACGAAAACTTCGACATTTCGCTGGGAATTCTAGCACCAAACGACCAACGGGCAACCCAGGACATGTCCACAACAAACCAACAACTATCAACTTGCCAACCCATAGGGGTGCGGAGCAGGGTCAACCGTCCGTTTGCACTAATCGAACGAGGGAATCGTCTCTGCGATCTGGGGATGAGGGGGTCGCAGTTCGGGGCTGAGCAAGGTTATCATAGATAGAATGGATGTTTCCGATTGTGTTTTTTCACGAATATGGTGAACGTTTTACGGAAGTAGTGAAAACCAACACAATTGGTGGGTTCCGCTTCCTGTTAGCCAGCCCCCAAGTGGTTGGATTGTTGTATTCGAATGTCTTAAAATCGAATATTATGGAAACAGTTATGATGGTGAGGATGAAGAAGGGGAAGGGGGTCGTATTGGGAAGCCTTCTAAAACTGGTGATGGTTGTGGGGGTTGTACCGACAGAGCCGACCTAAAGGGAGGACCGCAAATTTTTGGACAGGCGACGTGGACGGTTGACCATGGTGCGGGGCTTGGACGGGCTAGGCACAATTTGATTTCCGGATCGTGACAGTACAAAAACACCATTTGCCACTGGCCTATCTCCGCCTAAAGGAGGAAATATACATACAATTTTCCTATAAGATGTTCATTCGACTGTCTTTTATAAAGCTCTAAAATTTTCGAATCTTTCAAGAAGTGTGGACTTTGTTCAGCACCAGCCGCCGCATGCACAGACATCTCCGACTTAGTGGGAAAACGAGCTTCGTGAGTATTTGTTCTTCATTTCTATGTTATTGTTGCACATTCTTATGATCAACGTAGGAATGACTAGAGATATGTTCAAATGACCCTATTCAGCTTAAAGGCACGAGTCAGGCTTGATGGACCAAACCAATCCCTTTTGTCGTCTTTGTGCATGGCTGCGCACCCACAGAGACGTTACCATGCTCAGAATCCCAAACGGCGCCGTAATAAGGCTCCAGGGCACGTATTAAGCGCTTTCGCCGCCTGGCGGCGCTCCGACCGCCCACCTCCGGAAGTGGTGCGTGGCTGGCATAACGTGTGAAATCAGCTAGGTTGATTGCCGTATCAACCGATAGAACGACTGATATCTCCAGAAAACTTGTTTGTACGTGCCTCTTCCCCAAGCCAGCCTCCTTCACTGCTAGTGGGAAAGAGGGTTTTGTTAACGGCCTTGTCGACGGTTTTCTCAGTTTTTTCTCCACTGTCGTTCTACTTCGCATCTCTATACTCAGTTTCAATCGCCATAATACCCCCTTATTGAGCCCGACTTTTGCCTTTAACTGCTGTTTACAAAAGATGCCTGTGTGAACACATGATTCTAAACGACGAAGTAGGGGCTACTTGAAAGCAACATTGGGCAACATTCCTGTGAATCCCATTTCAAATCTATTATATTTCTTCAACATTTTGTTACCACAGATGATGAAGTCAGAAGGAGGGGAGCTAAGAGTCTTTTGACCTGAAAGGCCGAAGAGTAAAATTAAAAGGATTAGGAATTTGATTATCCTTTATCCTTTATCCTTTATGAACAAGGTACTATGTGTACTTGGATTTCTATGTGTACTATGAATTTGATTCCGGTGCGTTACCGTTCAATCACAAGGATAACAAAGGAATCTATCAGTTCACAACGAAATAACCTACAATAAGAACGAACGAAATCAACAAATTATATTAGAGTACTTAAGTTAAATGAAGCGATATAAAATTGGAGCGATTTCCAGTGAGAGTAGGAGATGTCGCGGACGAGAGAAGTTGGGCTGCTAGTTCCTGGTTGTCGTGATCACACAAATTCTAGGTCTCAGCTACACATGGCGGGTTCGGTGCCAAACAGCCAGCTCGCTTCGGAGTGCCACTTAGGCGTCCCGAGTTTGAGCTGAGAGATTGAGAAGTCCAAAAGACCCCTGTAGGCGGCGACGATCCGGACAGAAGAGACTGCTGGTCAAAACTTTGGGCTGTAAACCTTTTATCGCAATTCCCACTCTCTCTTTCACTCTCTCTCTCTTTCTTTCTCTCTCTCTCTCTCTCTGAAAGCAGCTTTGGGGTCCTGCGCGATCACAACCGATCACCGAATCCATGCAGAACGTAGGGGCCCCTAGTTCCCTTCTCCTCAGAGGCGCTCTGCCCCTGAGACTCCCGTCCCTCTATCTAACAAACCCACTCGCCGAGAAAAGGCGAAGGTGAGGAGAAGGCATCATTACGACTATTGGCTGGAGTCCCACGACCCCCTTTTTACAAGCCCTATCTCGGTTCTACCTCAATAAGCACTTCACCTTCCCTGAGTGCTCCGCATAAACCAGCGTAAGGCTGCCATGACTTATCAGTGTAGAGAAGGAGCGGTAAACATTTGAATAGTGTTCAGTTTTAAAAAAAAATTCAAACGAGGCAGTGTGCATTAGAAGGTGAAACTCCAGTTCGGGGGGGCCACTCCATTTTTTCTCCAATACTCAAGATAAGGATTAGAGGGCTCACGACACGTAATCGACTCATTTAAAGTAGACTTCTGATAAATATTGGTGTAATGGGTGAGAAACCCTGAAACGTTTCACATTTCCGCCTGCCATGACCCAAGGGAACGGTCCTGGACCAGGAGAAAGGACACCTCCGCAAAGGGCTAAGGGTGCAGGAGCTCCAGGGTGGATCACCTGTGCAGAAAAGTGGATGGATGTGGGCAGGTAGTGTGGAATGTAGGACATCCACCGGTCCTTATCAAAAGTACGCTCGAAATGAGTCGTTCACTTATTATCTTATCCGTAGTGTTCGATAGCCCAAAGAACTGCTCTCTAGTACTACGGATAAGATAGCAATGGAGTGGCCCCCCGAACTGGAGTTTCACCAGTAAACCTTAAAAGAGTAGGGAACTGTAGAAGCGGCGAATAGCAAATTGATTAAGTTCAGAAGGAATAAAATCGTCTTTTCGCGAGTAGAAAGGCATCTCAACTGACTCCGAGGCTGTTGTCAGTCTTATTGTTAGTTGGGCCACTAACTACGCCATCATCGCCCATCACCTGGCAGTCTTCTCATTTTTCGATCCTACACACCTGCTCGCAGTACTGTAAAGTGTGAAAGGGGCAGACATTGAATGCAAAGCGGGATAATTTTCGCAATTTCCGCCAATCTTGATAGAAATCTCTTCAAAATTCTTCGGAAGATCTCAAAGCTCCAGGAGAATTCCCAATCAAAATGTAACATTTCCTGAACATCTACAGCAATATTCGACGACACATCTTCCAGAGTAACACGACTTCCACAATAGCGTCAAGGATCCCTGACGTTGTCCCTAGCGCTGACCACTTCTTTTACTACCTCGCGGTGAACATATTTCTATAAGGGATTTGAACGATACTCCCCCTTGTATTGAACAGGGTCCGGCGAAGCCGGCATGAGTCCGGAATTGTTCTTACATTTAAGTAGATGCTAAGCAGTTGCCTGCGGAAGCTCCAGTTCTTCCTTGATATTCGATTACAATTGTGGTAAACTACCACTGCCATAGTCCCCAGAAAACTAAATCACTGAAATGTTTAGAGCCGACGAGACGGTGGAAGGCATTCGATGTACAATCGGAATACGAATTTCTCTCTCAAAAAGCGTCTTCTAGCAAAGAAGCACAGCTCAGCATCCCCAAGTGACGTAGACGAGCGCACATTAGAGCAGTTCCATCAGTATGTCTTTAGATTTGTTTTTTTTTTTCTTTCAAGACCACTTCTTCTTAGCAGAAGCGATTTTCTAGGTTCAGAATAACGCAGCAGGTGTTTATTTTCTCTCGTCAGGTAAGAAAAATGGAAAAACCTGACCAGGGCACTGGAAATAACGGCCTTCCTTTTCTTGACGACCAACCAGTCCACGGAGTAGTAGCTTGAAAGGAGGAATTCACGATAAGAACGAAGGTCAAAGAAGGGGAAAATTGCATAGTTGGGAGACAGGCGGACCTCCTGAGGGTGCTGACCGACGCGCAATTGGCAGCGAAAGATTTGACCTCGGCGATCTAGCATGGCTCACTCTTGGCGCGGTTGGCGGGGTACGCCCACCGACATCTAATCACTCGCCGCAGGTCTATACGTGGCGAGTGATTAGATAGCAGAGAGCGTAGTGTTGAAGAGGGCACAGCGATGAGAGTCGCATCAATGCGCAAATCAACGGGCAAGGAAGGGGTCCCATTTCTCGGGTTCTGGGCCGTTTCTCA